GATGCGAACGCGACCTATTTAAACCAATGGCTTCCGAAGCGCTGCACGCAATAATTTGTCGGCTTTGGACTCTGTGAAAACTCATTTCAGTCTCCTTCTAAAGATCATGATTTACTCAAAGGCTTCGAAACTGAGCGAAGTCGAAGGCGCTCTGGATTTAGTTTAAAAACTCCCAGAGCGGGCTCAGGACGGAATCCGACAAGAAATGTTTTCCATAACCGGCGCAATCTTCCAACCGTCCCACCTCCAAAGGGAGAATTTACTCCGATGCTGAACAGCGTCACCAGGAATAAGATGGCTCGACATGACTATTCGACGCGCCGACGCTCTGGTCCGGAAACGCCAGCTGCCCTGAGAAATGGATATCAAAGTAACCGTAATACCCCGGGATTGCCGAACATGGATGTCAGTGGATATGGAGATGACTCCACAAACCTTGATGGTGACCCTACACCTGTTCCGCGAATAGCTAGCAGCAGCACTCAAAGCACACCTCTCCCTTCGCTGCCAGGGAGGAATGGCAATGTCGTCGGGGATGGGCATAACATGATGACATTAAGAGAACAAGAAAAGGTACTCTTCCTAAGTTCTATTTTGCGCTTTCTGTAGAGGTTCCTAACAGTTTTGAAATTGTGTTGTAGGTTATTGATAAACTCGATAAGGAAAATTTCGGCCTAAAATTAAAAATACATTTTTTAGAGCAAAACTTCAAGTTGTCGAAACCCGAATTTGCCCAAGCTGCGATACAAGAAAACACCGAACTCAAAGTCACAAAACTGACGATGGAGCGTGATTTACACCAATGCAAGAAAAGTCTTCGGCGCGCGGAACAGGATCTGGCGGAATGCCAGGCGGAGTTGCAAGAACTGCAGTCACACCCAAGTCAAAGACATGCTAACGAAAATCTGCAGAGAGAATTGAACCAATTGCGCGAAGATTTAGAGAGCAAAAATAATGAACTCCATGATCTGCAAGAAGAGGTGGATTTCATGAAAGTGAATGAGTCAGAGAGTCTACAGCAGCTTCGGGATGAGATACAGGACTTACAATATGAGCTCAGGCGGAAAACCGAGCTTGTTGAGAACCAGGAAGATGAGATTGAAAACTTGAAGGAAAAGCAGCAAAATGAGAAGGACTCGATTGCTCAGCTTGAAGCTGCACTTCAACAGGCGAAGGAGCAGTTAGATACTCTCCAAAGTAGTCTAGAACAAGCAAAGTCGGAAGCAAGTGAGGCAAAGTCAAAGTGTGAAAAAGCAGTTGAAGAGAAGGAGCAAGCCGTAGAAGATTTGAAGGAGCTTCAAGATGAAATGACCGACAAATCTTTCTACACCAAAGGACTCAGCCGCCAACTAGAGGAAAAAGCCAACAAATTGGAAGACGAAATTAACAACCTCCGGAAGGAGCACACTGCGCTGGAGAAAAATTTCCAGAGCAAGATTCGCGAGGCAGCCAAGCTTGAGGAGGAGGTTGAAGCACTCAAAGAAGAGCTATCCGCAGAGAAGGCAAGATTGCAGGACGATCTTGATTTAGCCCATCATGAGCGAGATATTGCTAGAAGGGAACGGCACGACATTTTGGAACGTCTACACCAAGTTGAGGACGAGATCCAAAAAGTGGGGAGGATGCAAAAGCTGTCCTGAAAACTCGTCACG